GCTACCACTTCACTGTCCATCTTAAATGACTACACTCGATCATCGTGTACGCCCTTTCCACCTTGTACTATACCCCATGTACTGCTGCTAGCTGTTGCTTCGGATTTGACCGATTTCAGAGCTCACAAACAATGGGGGTGCGAAATACAAGTCACGAGACGGTTGAAACTATATTATAAGACACTTTCTTGTGTCGACTCATTTTTGGTCCACCAGCCATTTTAGTTTTATCGAATTTCATTGCGCCGTTGTCAATTTTATGTTACACTTACTTCTAACCGATCTACATATAATATTGTATTTGCATTATTTATTTAAACACAGTTTATAAGACATGATATTATTATTATTATGTACTTACCAGTAAAGCAAGTCTTAAATTAAAACGTTCGAGTTCGTTGTCCTATAGTTGGCCGTTTCAAAATATATTAATATGAAAAATATCCCATCCTTGTAAAAAAAAAAAAAAAGAGGGTACTTTATTTTATTACATTTTAACAAGACCGCATTGTGCCCGAGGACTTTTTTGAGCTCATTACACAACAAGGATTTTCATTTTTAATTTTTTCTCTCTCGCCTAACCCTTCCATCCCTTTGCTCCATCCCTCGAGCGGTTTTTTTTTTATATATAACATCCCCCGAGTCGCACTTAAATGCAAATTGAAACGTCCCTTTCCCAACACCGTTACAAGTCGCGCTGTTCAAATACTCCTGGACTTTTGTCTTTTAATTTGCGTCAATTACAGTTTCAATTAGCGCACCACCATCCCCCACCTGCCATCGCACCCTTTTATTTTTTTTTCTTACCCCTGTCGTCTCTGCCACATGAGCGCAAATTCACCCCACATGTGTGTACAGTATAAGTAACTGTCGTGGTATTAAACATTTTTCTAAACTACTCTTGCACTTGACGGTGACAAATCAAAAAACAGACATAAGACACGGGTTAGTGTAGCCTTAGCAAGAACTTGTTGAAAAATAATAATTCACTTTATGAGATGGGCTCGAACCGTTTTGTTTATGTTTTACAAGAAAAAAATAATCCGAAACGACGGTCATGATCAGAACAATTTAATTCCTTTGTTAGTGGATATTGGATTTTTTTATACGAGCCTTTTATTATTTTTCTTTTAAGTCGGTTTTGTATATTGATTAGAAACTTTTCCCCGGCCGATTGATGTTTATTTATTTTATTATTATTATTTTTTTTTTGTTCGTGCGCCAGCTTGAAAATTAACTTTAAATATGCGCTCAATGAACCATAAACGTTTTGGTAAATTCAATGTAAGACGTTGAGAATATTTTAAATATTATTATTATTCGAGAGAGAGAGGTTTAACCGTCGTATTGAACAATGTACAATGCTGGTACGGTCTGAGTTCAGAAGAAAGTCAAACGTTCAAATTAAACTTTACATAAAATCAATATACACAAACATTCGCTCCCACTAACAAGATGGTATGTATTTATATAAAGTTTTTCTCAAGACTGCAGCATCTTTAAACTTGACGGATAGTACATTGAACCGTCTGGAATCCCGGCTGAATGTTTAAAATATCGTCGGATATCAATCAAGGACCTAAAGTGTAGTGTGTATAGAGACGAAGAACTAACAACAAGCAAACGGTGTTTAATCCCCCGGCGCCATTAGAGGGAGGGAGAGGGCTTAAGGGTTAGGTTAGGTTAGCACTCCAGATTTTTGAAAAAAAAAAATATATTAATCTCATTATTTTTCTGGAAACTACTGAGCTTAAGTGCCCTCGATTTTTTGTATTGAAATTGCATCTCTATATATGGTTAATCCCTCATTTCGCTCACTGTATTTACCATGTGAGTATAGTACTATGTGTATTACAGCTGTGTACCTATATTTTATATTTATTTATCTCTATACAATTGATTCTTTAGCGAATTGTTGCGCAAAATAGAAGACGCTCCGAAGATATGTCGGTTGCATATTTCATGAGCTTTTTTACAATGTGTACTGATCTGCCATTTGCCGGATATTAAATTATTTACAATACCTATCAGTGAGATCGATTCCCCTCCCCGTTTCGAACATCTGCATTTTTTTTTCATATCGGCTACATATTTAATGCCGTTGCAATAGCAGTCAGACGTATTGGACGCATTAAATATGCAACCACTTCCTTATGGGGTCTGTTATATTTTATCTGGATTTATTTAAAATCGCTAGAACCCATTACCACGGTCGGTATTCGGTATTTTATTATTTATTCCGTCGATATTGTTACTAAAATATTTACTCAGTAAGAATCGGATGCCATATTGAAGAGAAATGGTCAGCGAGAACAAAATATAGGTCTAAAACAGTCTATTGTCGCCGGAGAGCTTAGTTATACACATTAAAATAGAATGAATAAAATAACAATAAGTAGGACAAAGTGTATTACGTGGTTAGCCGTGTGTCGTTCAATAAATAGGTGCAATTTAGGGTAAAAGAAAAATTGCAACTGAATTGCAGCTATATACATTGCACTGAATGTAGTACTTGAATAAATTATAAGAATGCCGTGACGGATGTGCAAATGTACCGGGTTAGATAAATAACTAGCAAACGAGTACACAAAACGAAAGTAGTATATTATAAAAAAATAAGTAAAACTAAATGGAGTCTGAAATATGGGAGACAAAAAAAAATAAGTACAGCGAATAAATGTGGGTAGATGTTTTTACAATTGGCAGAGAGATAAAAATGTAAATATAATATGTATTTTAATTATACGAAAATATATATATAAATATATTATAGTTTGAGTTCAATCAATCATTCTAGGTAAACGCCAATGAATTATTCTATTTAAAAGGATTTCGCTACTTTTTTTTTCATGGCAATTTTTTCAGTAATTCAATTTCAGCCTTGACATTTTACGGTGGAATTTGAACGGCGAATTTGCATATTTAAAAGAGCCGCCGTTTTCTGTGTTTATGATAATTTATCATCAGAGACGATGAAACGGCTCGACTTTAACAGCTGACACTTTAACCGACCTTAATCAACCGAAAAGTTTTTCGCATTATTATGTTTTCTCCGTTCCATATTATTATTTTGCTTCGACGATGATGAACGCTGAGAACTTTGTGTAAATCCTCTAACACGCGCGTTGTCATCGTGCACACACGATTTGTATAATTATATCCGTTTAATAGTTTCGAAAGAGTTGTTCGCAATAGTTTCAATCCGTCGATGGAAAACGTCAATTAATACAATGTGATATTAGTGTACAGGAGGTAGTACTACAACTTTTATGGCAACCATCGAAGGGTTCTTCGAGCAAATTCGACTCCCCGTCAAATCGGATTAACAATAATGGACATCTGAATCGATTAATCATTTAAATCTGTACACGTTAAGCGTCGAGTTTATTGCCATTTGACATATTATTAGCTTTAAAGCAAAAGACCAAAATGTCTGAATTAGACAACATGTATTTCCTGGTAAGGTTTCAGGTTGTTCTCTCTTTAGCAGTTTCTTTCAGTGTCTTGCAGTTCATACAACTAGTGTGTCTTAATAATGCTCTTGAGGTGTTCTAGGTCTTACTCCGGTTCTTTTGCCTTATAAACCTTCCCTTATGAAGTCATATTTAAATATTCCTTTTGAATTGTAAGTTTGACAAGTGCTATTTTGTAATGTGACTACTCAAATAGCAGGATCGTTTGACTTGATCCACGTGGTGGCCCTTTTTGACAACACACGTTCAAGGTTGGCGAACAACATATTATTTACTGAATAATAGTATGCAAGACCATATCAGCCTATATTTCTGACCAAAAAAAAAAACCCCGTATGATATTATTTCTAGTTTTATTAGTTATAGCAGTACTTGGCATTTTACCACGTGACAGTTATGACGAATGACTTTTATAACGCTCGTCGTTAAAAACCCGGACGCCACCAAAAGTTGACCCATTACTACGGTATCGCATATACAGTATCGTTAAAACAAAAATAAACCCAAATGGCTTTTATTATCATCATTCAAATTTCGTTCGTACCCTCCGTGTAACCATAGTGTAACACGCATGCCGAATTCATCCGGCTTTTACCCTTATGACTACTGTAACAATATCTTTTGTTATTTTTATTATTGTAACAGGCGATAGAGCACGATTCGTTTGTTCAATTTAACAACAATGTTTGCTGTGTTCAAACGTTAATTATGGTTTAGAAAGAACATACCGATAGCCAACCTTATAGCTAGTCTGTGCTAGCCCAGTGTATTCTGCTCGAATCCTGGCCGTTCAACGGGATACGGTTAATAAAATTATGTTGTTCTGTTCTCTTTGCAACCTGCTGGGACCACCACACTATACTATACCACTGATTCGTGAAAAGTCGGTTTCCACTTGATATGTGCTCATGTGTGTGTGGGAGTATGTGTGTAGCGATTGCCGGGAAAACAACAGTTGGACCGTCGTGCGGTTAGGTTACCATGGTTACGGTATAAATCATCGTTCACCTGCGTCCGTTGCCCGGGCCGCCGTTAAATCCTTGTGTAATTTCCGAGTGAAAACTTCTCCAGGGGGGGAAACTATTAAGTTTCCAAACCCAAATTAAGCACGTAACCGTTGAGCTTCTTATCTGGTGGATGAAGTTGGCACGCCGAGAATTCGATTATCCGACAGACCGCGGTGACGGGCAGCACCACCACCGCCGCTTCTCTATATTATACAATTTGAAAGGGAAACGATTGTTTTGTGTTTAATTTGCCGAGCAAATCCCGTCCAGGACGAAATACAAGAGACCTATATATAGACACATTTTCAAACTAGCTACGTTTATCAGATTAGACCGCACAGTTTACAACACACACAGTCACACACACACACACACACACACACGTGACTTGATTACTACCCGCTAAACAAGTGGGCACGTACGCGGTTTTTAATTGGCCGACCTTACCTTTGACGACCAATGTTAACCCGTGTCAAGCAAACTATAAATGTAAAACAACTTTTTCTTGTTCTCTCCACAGGGTTTGCCTGGCATTCGGGTACCGCTAAGAAACAGCTATGCTTCGTCAATATCTCAACAGACGGCCGTGTTCATGTACAGCACTGCCGGCCCGGACGGCCAGACCGTTACGCTACAGCTCCGGGAAACCGACGAAGGTCTCGAGTTACCGACCACCGTGCTGTCCAAGATCAGTTACCAAAATTCGGCAGAGGTCCTCACCGACGGCACCATAGATCTGTTACTGGCCACCACGCCGCTAAACTCGTCAGGTAAGATTTTATAGAGTATACAACGAAATTAACCAGACGATAACAAACGCAAACGAGTCTGTATAAAGCGATTAAAATTATATGCGCATCATTTCAAATACAATTACCTTCTCAGCTCCACACGGAAGCAAAAAAAAAAAACATAACTCGGTTTTGGTTTAGTTTTAACATGGATACATAAGAGAAATTTCGTGTCGCCATTTTCGCATTAGTGATAAGAGATTAGATATATTAGATGTAGGAGATAAGAGATTAGGAATAAGATACAAGTGATAAGAGACCATAGATATATACTAATACTGGATGGCCGTCTTTGCCATAGTCACCCTGAAGTCAGTTGAAGCCACCGCCATATGCAATGTAGGCACTATTGGAAACAAACGTTATCAATATTAGGCTTTCACATCTTGTATAAATTACCTTATGCCTTTATAATTTAACCCGTTGTTTTTATATCATTGATAAAGTGTTTGATAAAGTTTGTTTACCGATTGTGCACCTACATTGCAAATGGCGTCGGCTTCGCTAATAATTCGAAGACGGCTATCTAGTATTAGTATACTCAATACTGCCCTCCAAAGCAAAAATGCCGTCATTCGAAAACAATTTTTTTTTTAAACCGATTAAGCCAAGTAAGAATACTTTTTAGTTTGTTTAAACGGGTTTTAAAATTTGTTTTTTTCGAGTTACGGTTTTTTTGTTTAGGAGACCAGTATACATCTATGTTACAGACCAATTTTAAAATATAGGAGACAAGTGAGAGTAAGATATGCTTATATACGAGATAATTGGTGAGATAAGAAATGACATATCCGTGATTAAATGTTTTCCCATGGAGCGGTGAAAGTAGCTAGGTTTTTGTTTCAATAATTTATCTTACCTTCTTCTCTTAAGCTCTATAGGTCAAAGGCATACAAGCCGTTAGCTTCCAAATCATTTCTTCTCCACTCATTTTGACATACTTTAATTGTTATTGTCTCAATATTGTTCAAACGCCTGTTAATCGATAGGACCAGCGTGGCGGCAGAAGGTTAAAAAAAGTTTTTCAGCCGCGTCTGCAACTACGAAAGAGCATTTTCATGTCTCGTTGAAGTACCGAATAAATTTAGATTAGTTGTGGAATTATAATTAAAAAAAAAAAATTACATGGAGCTTCCAGTTACAGCATAAGGCCAAGGAGATTAAAAAATTATGTACAATCAAGTTTCTGGCTAAAATTGTAGTGTTTATTATCTGGCCAAAAGTAACTTAACATAGAGAATTAAACTATTTTGAATTTATTATTTAGTTCTAATTTGAACGTTGAACAACATATCTCTTATCTCATATCAGATAACAGCGTAACAGATTAATATTCGAAATGGATCCGAAATGGTCTATCCGATAATTGTCTTTCGTCGTCGCTTCGTAGTTTTTGTTACCTTGCGGCGCGTGACAGCGTAACGCTTTTTTGGTAACACTTTTTTTCGGTTATTTACCGGCTAAATCTCACCCTTATCTCCTATCCCCTATTCCACCCCTATCTCCCGTCCCCAACCCTTTCGCTTTTTTCGTTACGCTCTTTTGGTAACGCTTTTATGGTAACGCTTTTTTCGGATATTTGCCAGGGTTATGTGCCAGAGCTAAGACATGAAAATGTCAAAAACCCTATCCTCTGCCGGATGCACGGATGGGGAATCCCGTTGGCTTTCCACAGGCTCCACAGCAACCCCGCCATCATCCCCCCCCTAGAGAACTAGTGCTCGGGCTTAACACCACCTTATATATATATATATATACGGGGGTAGTTTGGTATTTTTTTTTCCACCCTCCCCCCTATACTACCACCCTCTTTTTATCCTTTGACGACGTGCCACGACACCCGTGAAATGACAAATAAGAGGCCCTTAACAATGACGGTGCGACCGCCTTTTGTTTATGGACGCCTGTAATTTATTTTATCGCCGACACCCTTCTCTTCTATTACCTCAGCCGAAAAAGTTGCACGCCAAAGTTTTACACACACTCTTCCCCCACCCCACTCCTTCTCTGTATCTCTCTTTCACCCCACCTCTACTACTGCATACCACAAAGGTATTCATCATTATTGCCACAGAGACGCGTTTAAGTGACAAAACACTTTTAAGAGTATACAGGATCTTAGCTCTAACTGTCCTCTGTAAATAATTACTAATAGCTATAGAAACAAAAACGATTAAATAATTGATCATGTTAACAATATTTTCAAATGGTCTAACACTTTTTTTTGTATTGTTGTAACTTTTGATAAAAAAAAAATAGCTATTAGCCTCGTACGTCACTTGTAAGTTGTAGTCGATAAACTTGTTGATAAAAATAGCTGGTCTATATTACATATATCCACTTAAGAATAAAATGTTATCAAGGAGCTAGTACTTTTCAAAATATAGGTGAAACCTTAGCGGTACATGTTTATAATCTGATCATTATTCGAGTGGTTTCCCATCTATAGATTTGTTCATCGAATAACTAAAAATAAACACTTATTTAAAATTGTTCGGGCTCAACAATATTTGTTTTCAACGAGCCGCGTTTTCGTTTTTGATAACAAAATAAATTACAAAATATTTTACCATTTTAAAAAAAAAAAAAAACAACTCCATCAATATGTGTTTTGTCATGACGAGCAGACGGCATAAAATAATATGTAAAATATCTACAAAAACGTAGAAAATACTTGAACGGTTAAAGACAACATAAAACTGACTCGCAATGATGTTAACCAAAATCCTAATACTTTGGATTGTCCAAAATTAAGTGCGTTCTATAATAGATAGCTGAATTCTGTTCATACCTCTGGTGTTTAATAACATAGTAGTTACTCTTTCAACTGGCCCGCTAAAATGAGGAAACTTTAAAGTAATTTTAAAATTGTATCAAACAAATGTACATTTAACAATCATTACTTCTACAGACCATGTGTGTGTACTCATTGTCAACTGTAAACTAGTGGATTCCCATCTCGTGGTAGTTTTTTTCCCTTGTCCTTGCCACAAAATTATGGCGATATTTCATTGTAAGAAAAATTGTCACACTTACACATTTTTTGCCCTCATTTCTCGCCTAGTGAACATGACTCCTTTGTCATGGCAGCAAGTGGCGGAATGGAAGATTCCAGAGAAACGCTTAGGTCTCTTCTTACACGTGCTCGACAAAATGAAAATTCTTGCTCTTACCGCGGCCGTGTCGTTAATCAAATAAAAAATATGTACGTCGAGGGTAGAAAAGGAGAGAGAAAAAAAGGAAATAAAAACTTAAATCGTTTAGAGGACAGCCGAGAGAGTGGGCAACAATTTTTACTAGATCCTCTCAGGTTTTCTGGTGTCCTGCCAAACTATCTTGGGTTATGAACGTTTCCAATGGAATGGATCCAAAATGCACGCCGACGACTTGTACAGCTACATTTCCTTTTATTTTTTTAACGTTTTATCTTTTCTCAACGGCAGTGCATTAGCCAAAGTTAACGAATAACAATATCCTATACTCGCAGAGGGTAACAAGGACCAATGTCAATGAGGTTACAAGTCAAGCCAAACACTCCGGCCTTCAAGTTTTAATTAACACGCACCCAAGTAGTACTGAATCCGATTAAACACACGATTTGAATAAAAAAAAAAACCCGGTCAATAATTCGTGGTTAACATTCGAGTATAGTTTTTTTTTTTTAATTTTGCAATTAAAACGCAACTAAAGCGTCAAACGTTATAACCGCCTGCCTGCACACGATATATAGCGTTCCTTTAACTACCCGTGAATATAATATAACATGTATACATGCCGTTTAATGTGCTGGATTTCACTTAACTGTCTCGTATTAAATTACACGGCGTTTCCTTTAAGGCGGCCCCGCCATAAATGCTAACGAGACATGCGTTCCGCTTGCTTTTTATGGTTGCTTGTTTAATAATAATAATACTTGGAAACTACCGAATTGACGGTACGACTTTTTTATTTTAACCAATTATAATTACCAGTCACTTGGTCTTGGTAAACTTTATAAAGTAGAAATCAGCTCAGCGGCTTAGGAGGAGACATCGCGGCTAAAAAAACATCCAGTTCTGACGACACTAAAACTGTGGTTTGTCTGGATCTCACTGTATCACATAGCAACACATAATATTATGTAAACGATATTTTGGCAACAACAGGGAACACTATACACTTTGGTGGTATAAAATTTCAACGTTACTACGCGTGGATAACAAACAGTCAACAGGTATGGAAGGATAATAATATGTTTTCACCATATTGTTAATTACAATATTATTCGAGGGTGACGATTGCAACAAACAAGTGTATAGACCGACGATCGAACGTGATCGCATCTATATTAAAAACTATTTTAAGCACATTATTGCGCATTACAAAGTGTGTTGCTATTCACTCTTTGAATACAACAATCGTTATTACATTTACAAATATGTACTCGAACGACACGAATATCACGTTAAAGCTTTGGCCGATTACAATATTGCTGGGTGTTGCGCAGGTCCCAACGTGACGTGACGTGACGTGACAAGACAGACCGTGTTGGTTTTCTTCGTGGTTTCTTTCTCCGTTTCTAACGTTGCGGTCAAATAACGAACATTCAACGCTGGATACATTTCAAGAAGAATATCGACATAATAATAATTGTATGATGTTTACGGCCAATTCGCCGACTGCCGTCGTAAAAATGTTTCTCGGCCAGACAACTCTTATGTGTTTTATGAATAACCTCGTGGATAATATTATATTATCCACTCGGGTTTCGCGGTCTCCGGGCTGATCGTTAAAACCGTGGGGGTCAACCATAGAGCTGCTGCTAGTATCTCGCATGTACAATATACGTTGTATGCGCATATATGTATATATATATTGGATCCTATTGTTTTTGTGTCCACCCCCGTTGTTACCGCGGCTTTAATTTGTCCATAGTCCTACCCTAACCCGTAAAACTCGGCGTCGTTAATTCCTCGACCCTTTCGTCGTGCCTTCTCCTC